TAAAGAAGAAAAATCAGATATTCATAGGAGAAGAAGACAGACAGCACACAATTTTTACATAACTCTGAAGCAAACAATAAAAAAAAAGTCCAGTGCATGGACGCAAAAGACAGAATAAAACACAAAATACAAAAGGATTGACACACACACACAGACCTTTTGCAGCACAGGAAAGATCAATATGAAGCGTGCTGGAAAAGCAGGTGCCGGGTCTTCTGGCGGGGGAGGGAGAGGAGGTAGGGGGAGAGCTAGAGCTGCAAGCTGCCCCCCACCCCCCCTGCCCAAACAAAGACACATTCTCTTCCCAAGAAGCCATGACACCAGTGCTGCCAGTGGAAGCAAGGAGGTGGAAGCAGTGTCTGCACCTGATGTCCCTGCACCTGCACCACCTCTGCTCAGTCCAGAAGTAGGCACCAGCAGTGGAATCACTGTCTCCTCCACCCCAATTTCATCTCTCAGCATGAGCCTCCCACTGCCAGAGGAGGAGCTGGAGCTGGAACCAGGGATGCTGAGCGCGCTGGCTCAAGCAATTCTGGGGACTGAGGGGGAATCAGAGTTTGTGCTCCACATCCCTCAAATTTCCCCTAGACCCAGGTCTCCTTTAGAAAGCAGCACCTTGGAGGAGGCTGAGGTTGTGGAGGCAAGTGTCTCAGCTTAGGCAGCTCCTCCTGCTATTGAGTCTCAGCCTGCTGAGGAATGGGATAAGGCAGTATCCTCACCCTCAAGCCATAAGTGGGGGAGTAGTGTACTGTGGGATCCTTTTGAGTTGGCAGATGATCCCAGATTTGCCATCTGCCAGCACTGCTGAAGGCACATGAGCTGTGGCAAGGATGTGAGGCACTTTTCCACCACGACAATGCTGCTGCATCTGAGAAGGCAGCACCCCCTTGTCCTTCTTCCTGCTCAGCCTGGCACCAGTGCAAGTGTGCCGAAAGGGAAGTCCCCCCCCCTCACTCCAAAGCCTCCTACCCCCCAAAGCAAAGGCAGAACACCCTGGACCAGTGGGGTAAAGGTGGACAGAAAGCAAGACATATTCCCAAGGTAAGCAAGATCACCCAGAGCATTGGGGAGATGCTTGCTCTGGATAGCCGGCCCTTCTCCCTAGTTGAGTGGCCAGGGTTCAGGCAGTTCATAGCACTTCTGGCCCCATTTTACAAAGTGCCCACATGCAGCACCTTTAGCAGGATGGTGGTGCCCTCCCCGTATGAGGCATGCAGGGAGTACTTGAGGGAGGAACTGCACAAGGCAGGGCCGCAGGTAGCCTTCACTTCACCTCCAACATCTGGAGCAGCTGAGGTGGTGATCACTCCTACCTCTCCCTCACAGGGCACTGGTGCAATCAGTCAGGCCATCAGTGGGCTCTACTGCAAGCCGAGGTACTGGATGAGTTCCACACAGCAAGGGAGATCACGGAGGCCATGAACTGCATGGTGCCGGGATGGCACGTTGGGCAGGCCAAGCTCACCTGTGGGTTCATGGTCATCAACAACAGGGCCAATATGGTGAAGGCTGTCTGTGATACCAACTTTGTTGGCATCCGCTATGTGGCACACAGGCTGCACCTAATAGTGAGGGATGCCTTGGAGGGGGACAGAGCTGTCAGTGATGGCACCACCACCAGTACTGCTACATGACAGCTGATTTTGAAATGCAGGAAGGTGGCGGGCTACTTCCACCGCAGCATCAAGGGAGGCAAGATGCTGTAGGAGAAATGGGCAGAGCTGAGCATCCCACAGCACAAAATCATGCAGGATGTGGAGACTCGGTGGAACTCCACATACCTGATGCTCGAGAGGCTGGTGGAACAACAGAAGGCCCTCCATGAGATGGCCTTGCTTGGACAGATTGGGATCAGCGGCCCCCTGAACAGAGCCGAGTGGAGTACCATCTCCCAGATTTTGGTGGTCCTCAAGGCCTTCCTCGAGGCCACTGAGACCCTTAGCACTGGTGATGCCCTCCTCAGCCAGGTGATCCCCCTAGTGAGGGAACTGGAGAACCAAATGGAGAAGTTCCAGGGGATCAATGTTACTGGTTGGGGCAGGCCGCTGTCACCAGATGTGCAGGCACTGGTGAGGCAGCTGAAGGAGGGCATCAGGAGACGGCTGGATCCCTTATGGTCCAGTATGGTCCACATGATGACGGGCATGTGAGACCCGAGGGTGAAGGGGAGAATGTGCACTGGCAGCCCCAAAACCCTGAATCACTGGATGCAGGTGCTGGTGAACAAAGTCAGGGAGGCCGAAGTGCAGAGGCGAGGGGATGTGGAAGAGGGGGATCCACTTTCCCGTGCCAGCACTCCCAGCACCAGCACC